TGTTGTTAAGTGCTGTTCAGTCTTTATGACTCACAACAACCCTGTTTAGGGTTTCTGAGGAGCGCCTGGTGGATTTGAACTACCTGCCTTGCGGTTCACACTGACCATGCATTCCAGTGCTTATCCTACAGTGCCACAGAGGAGAGACATGTTAACTCGGGTAATGGGGAAGGCAATATACAACACGAGGGAGACTGGTAGAAGAATGAAGAGGACAGGTGAAGACAAAGAGAGGAATGCGGAGGTCAAAGGGGTAGAGGTAAATAGTGTTATACACAACCCTGCAACCACGGTGGTCCACAGGGCGCTGCATGGACAGGCTGAACAGGTATGGAAGTAGCCCCACAAATATATCGAGGTTTAAAAAGGGTATTTGTACACGGGGATTTATCTGTGCTGCAAACACATTTGTGAATGTGGTGGAGCACACAGGGGACAAAAGATGAAAACTTCTTAGACATCAGCAAACACCTTGAGGGAACGGTACACTGGGCCTGGGGACACTACGGTCAACTGGCACAAAACAGTCTACAAAGACAACGCTCTACACCCTGCTGGGTGAGCAGCGACTGAGATCTAAAAGCTCACGAGTGTCTGTCTGAGGCACCGTAAGAGTCCGCCCTTCACCTTGGAGGCGCTGACGCAGTCCTGAAGGCTGCAGGCAGCAGAGGGGCAGTCATATTCGCAGTCTTACAAAGGTCCCTCCAGTACTACAATGGCAGCAGGTATGGAGAGTGGTAAGCAGGATGTTACAAAAGTGCAGGTGAGAACAAGTGGTGTGACACCAGAGACTCCCGGGAATTTAGATGGCCAAAAGCTAAGTACTTATATAATAGAAACCAGTGTTTCTAATAACCAAGAAGAGGCATTAAATTGAAATCTAATTAGTCACACCTTGATATGTTATCTATCAGCTGACTACTAGAAGAAAAATGGGTTAAGGGAGAAATTTTGGCAGTATGTAGACTTCAAGGGGGAGAAAGAGAATCCATTTGGATAAAAAGCATTCTGGTCACATCCTGGCGGAATGAAATAGTTCTTAAGCCACTTCCTCCCATTGCTGTAATCAAATTCAATACCCAAGCCAACCACTGTCCAGAGTCCGTTGTTTGGGTGTCCCAGTCTACCAGGAAGAAGATTGCTGATTGGGGTCACCAGCACAGAAATCGTGCTAGGGAACTAATGGAACCATTCATTAATGATGAATGAACTGCCATTCTGGTTTGTACTTTCTCCTGTGAGTTTATATCGGTGATTCAACTGAAAATCTGGCCATCGTTAAATGAGCTCTCTGGAAGGTAGATGTTTCACCTGACTATTCGAGGCTGCTGTGCGTCAACCACATGGCTTTCTCCTGGCAACTACCACGTCTTGCCCTTGGTGTATTTTACTTCCTTCTAAAGCCTCAGTAATGACAAAGCTTGATGCAATTTATATAAAATATTATCATCAGGAGAAAGAACTGTTAGGACTTGGGCAGAACTGAGACAACGGAGCAACCAGTACTGAGAACACAGGAGGAGATGAGGATACATGGTATGGAAATAATGCCACAGGACATGCAGCTTGAGACGCCTAATATATGACTGTATAAAATGAAGGGAAAGCTCGGTATCAAATCCCCATGACTAATATTTAGGAAAAAAGAAAACGAGAAGATGCACAGGGAAGGACTAGGTTGGAGGTGGCGAACCCAACACAAAGTGGACCATCTAAGCCACCAGAACCCTGGAATCGACCGGGGCAAGTGCCAACAGCGTACCGTGGAGCTGGAAGTTAGAGCACTGGCAAGCTCAGTAACTGCAGTTTTATATGAACCAAAGGCTTAGGGACTACAATCTAGAAAATATGACAAAACAAGTTCAATCTCCAGACAATTCCCACTGGACTTGCTACTTCACAGTAGCTCCTCCCTAGCAGTGGACGCTGTTCTGTTGTGATCTGGTTATGACGTATCAATGCCGACCACGTCGTGGAAGCTGACTAATTACCATAGCGACAGATTAAAGGCTGATACTGATTTCTTACCTGGATTTATGCAAGGGAGGAGCAGCACCTGTTCCCCTCCCTCACCAGGTCTCAGTGTAGTTGCGGCTGCACACTTACTCTGCTTCTCTGATAACAAAGCAAGCATAAAACTAGGACTCTCTTAAGACGCTAAGCTTATTAATGGCAATTCCCTAATAAAATGAAATCTCCATAAAACCAAAATCAAAGTTAAAAATATTCTTTTTAAAACACCCAAACCCCCCTGCACAGTATAAGTTGTAAGATGAGCTATAAGCCATCTTCTCTAAGATAAAAGCAAGCTATCTATAACCGTTTTGGCATTAATGTTTTGTCTCACTTCCAATTTCTCATCCAAATGAACAGAAGAGCTTTTGTGCCTACAATTGTTAATAGCTTCTTAGAAGCAATGATTACCTCTAGCAAAGTCAGCGTTTCCTAAAAAAAAAAAAGGTAGGAATTCACACTACTAAAAATAATGTCTCCAAATGTCTGCTTTCTACTAAAACACTTTCAGGTTTCAGCTGCACTATTAAAGAAACTCCAAGATTAGAGAATTTCATGTTTTCAGAGCAACACACAGCAATCTTCATTGAAACCTGTGACCCCCGACTGAGAAGTGTGCTTCAGTGATTCACACCGAAAACAGCCCAAGAGTTCCCCTCTCCCCTTACTTGACAAGCTGCTTTGAGGGTCTATTAAGTGTGGAGGGGAAGGAGGATGCGCAGACAATCTCCTGGCTCATTCCAAATGGAATAACCTACCTGCTGCTCTTCTCCGATATTCAGGCAAACTGTTCGTCACCATTTTTTTCCCGGGCTAACAAGATCTATTAGGCTTGATGTAGCAAACTGGACTACATCAAATCAAACACAAGGTAGAATTTGTATAATAGTAAAGATCATTTAAATTTTTTTAAAGTTTCTTTTTCATCAGGCTAGTGTTTATTATTAAAGATTGTCTTAAAACAGCTAAATAAAAACACACAAAAAAAGGATTTTATTTATAATTCCACCCCCAAGGTACTCCCACTGTTAAGTATCTAAAGTTTTAAAACAAAAAATATTATTCAGAAGTAATAGAAATTAAATCAATTTGGCTTAAAGTTTGAAGAGAAATAAAGACCACAAGACTATAAGCATTAAAATTTTAAGAACTGGCAGGTGTGGGATTTACCTGGCAGAAAACAACTTGGCTTTTGTTCTTGGTTCTGTCCAGCCATACCGAGGCCAATGAACAGAGGCTGACCAGACTAGCAGGGACCACCTGGTCAAACCTCGGGAGGTTATGTTGTAATCACCCACTGGAAAAGTTTTATATATCTTAGAAATGTGGTCAATCATGCTACCATTATCCCTAGGTGTACTGTCCTGTTTTGTGCATTCTTTAGGTGTTATGTATTGAGCTGTGCTCTCCACCTCCCCCACCCCAAATATGTGCTGCAAATCATAATCACTGCATCTGTGGTTACACTCCCATGAGAGACTGGGTTTTTCTGTTAAGTCGATAGTATTACTGCAAGGTGTGTTTAAACCAATCTCGTCTGGGGATATCAGTGCGGACTAATCAAGCAAGCAAAGAGCACAAAGGGACAGGGAAAGAGATGCCACATCATATGAAGGAACCAAGGAACACAAGCTAAAGGAGACAGAGGCCTGCCTCAGAGCCAACAGGAAATGAATTTGCGGAAATGAATTTTTGTTCAAAAGTCCCCCATCTGGGATAAGACTCTGGTGGTTCAATAGTGAATAATTACTATCAGGACTGACCGTGAGGGTTGCAAATGTAAAGGTAGAAGTTTTGTAACAAAAGGAGGGGAGTGGTTGATCTTGCAGTCCAGGAGCGGAGGACCCTGGGATCATTAAGGGAGAGGAGCTGAGTGCAGGACCTCTCCCAGAAAAACAGTGACACCAGAGATGAAGGCAGAGATGATGATGTGGAGAGATGGAGCGGCTGGGGACTCTGGACTCAGGGAGGGAGAGGGGCTATGTGCTGATGGCCAGGGAACAGGCTTGACAGATGTACCCTTTGGTTGTTTGATGATGCATGGAGGGGATTGTAATCATTGCAATGAAACGAAATACAACAGGATGAATGTAAAGCTAATGTTCTCCCATGTAAACTTTGACATAATTCACAATAAAAACTTAAAAAAAAAACAGAGTTCCCCATTTGTGACATTTCTATTATAGCAGCCTGCACTGGACCATAAGATCGGTGGTTCAAACGCACCGGCCACTCCTCAGAACCATATACAGGGTTGGAACCGACTCGTTGACACTTAACACTACCAACACACAACTAAGGCAGTAAGTGAACAGTTTTATCCTAATGATACCTGTTTCTGATCTTTCTATCTATCTATACTGATTATAAGGAGTTCTGATAGCATAGTGGTTACAAGTCGGGCTGCTAACCTCAAGGTCAGCAGTTCAAAACTACCAGCTATTTCATCAGAGAAAGATGCGGCTTTCTGCTGCTGTAAACATTTATAACCTCAGAAACCCCATACAGGGTGTCACTATGAGTTGGAACCGACTCCACAGCACATCACCACCAGCACACTTGTTATCAAGTCCTGGTATGATGCTGCAAGATAATGCACTGCATTATACAGTTGGTTTGCATCTCAAGGTCAGTCTGAACCACAAGGTTGATGGTTCAAACTCACCAGTCGCTCCTTGACAGGGTCACTACGTGTCAGAACCGACTCGATGGCACTTTACAACAACAACAGACTTATTATTATTCTTTGTCTTGATAACAACCATGCAGTTCTCCCCATGAAAGAAACCACCGTTGCCTGCTGTACTTTTCTAAAAGTGTGGGTTTGGACCCTGTGAGGTATCATGGAGATGTCTACAAGCGTGAATGCAGCACATGGGACCCTCGTGATCCATGCTAGAGACCTGCCCTTGAAGACCAAAACATCCAGTGCCTGCCTGAAAGCACACCCACTTCTAGGAGGAACAGCGTTTCCTTGACCCCCGTACCTCGGGTAAGATGAACTGTTCCACAGGTTTGTACCACAGCTTGTTCACCTGCACACCACAGCTGGGAGGGCTAAAGCGAGCACTGAACAGGGCCTCCTACAAATTAAAAAAAAAGACAAGGGAAAACCCCCAAAATGTTACATTATATAATACAAGCTTTCAAACAAGTGGCATCTTGGTCCGCTACATCCTCAGTGATCCCAACATCCTCAGTGATCCCAACCATGGCTACTAACATTGCTGCTATGGTTGTTGTGAAGGGCCGTCAAGTTTTTCCGACGCATAGCAACCTTGTGAAGGGTTTCCAAGGAGCAACTGGTGAACCTGAACCACCAACCTTGTGGTTCAAACTGACCTTTCAGTCCAGCGCATTAACCCACAGTGCCACCCCAGGGCATGGCTCTAGTGTGGTGTTTTTTAAAAACATTTAATTGTGAAGTGAGTGAAGGTTTACAGAGCAGATCACTAGTTTTACATTCAGAAGTGACTGCAACCTCCTGTCTATACCACCAGTTAGCAGTACTTACTTCATGTCACTGTGACTCTTGCATTTTTCCCTGTGTCTTCTGTTACCGTCATGTCTCCCTGCCTTGATGTATGCTGCCTGCCCCATCACCCACGTTAGTCTGCTCTCTATAGTCAGTTCTGCTGTGGCGCTGTAGGATGAGCACTTGACTGCAAAGTTGGTGGTTCAAACTCACCAGCTACTCCTTGAAACCGTTTGCAGGGTTGTTATGCGTTGGAATCAACTCAAAGGCACTTAACAACAACAACTCTCTAGCTGGTGAATGATGTTTCCTTCCCTCCCACAGAATGTCTAGTAGCATGAAAACCTTTTTACAACAGTGGTCTCACACAACATGCTCGCTCTTTTGTGACTGACTAATTTCACTCACCATATGTGGTTTGGATATTACTTGGGTTTCCAGTACAGTCAGGGTCATTAAATAAATACATTAAAAGTCTAAACTGCAAGGTCAGTGGTACAAACTCACCAGCCGCTCCTTGGAAACCCTGTACAGGGCCGCTATGAGTCAGACCGACTCGATGGCATATAACAATGGTCTCAAAAATATATATAACTCTTATAGCTCAGTTATAAAAAAGACAAATAACCCAGTTATAAAATGGGCAGTGGAACTGAAGGAAAATATCAAAAAAGTCATTAAATACATAAAAAGATGCTTGACTTCTTCAGCAAAATAGAAATGCAAATCAAAACCTCAGATATCACTTCATACTCACTACTATAGCCCTAATAAACACGACAGGTAAGTACATATGCTGACAAAGATGTGGCAAATCTGGAATCTCCAGACACTGCTCATGGGAATATAAAATGATGTCATTACTTTGGAAAACAGTCCAATAGTTCCCAAAAGGTTAAAGAAAATTACCATATGATACAGCAATTGTATTCCTAAGTAAACACCCAAGAGAAATGAAAACAAATGCCCCCAACACCACACACACAAAATG